TGGCTGGTCAATGACTGGACAGCGGGATTGGCTAGCCCGTCCCCAGTTTATTCTTCGGTCAATTCTCCTTTGCTGTCAACATTTTACGACATACCAAATTATTTATCCATACTTTCCTGTAGTTTCACACTAAGCATACATCCAAGTAATTTTTTGCTGTGCAACAGATCTCGGTCGGGTGCGTCCCCGTTGGTGTGGTCATAAAGTGCTTTCGGGCACATAAAAAATCCAAAAAACTTATTGTTATGGCTTAGCATCTGTCAGTGTTTCTAACATTACCGGTTAGACGTCTCCATACCGAAGAATATTCAATAAGTAGATTATGACTCATCACTCCGTAAATGCTCGATTCGAGACCTCACAAACGGAAATATGAACACCGATATTATTTGATGTGTACGGTTGGTCACTTAAAAACGGTCCTGTTTTTTTCAATGACCACTCGATGATGAAGTGTTTCTAAAGTTTCAAACTGTTCTATGGTTCTTCATGGATCAATCATCAACTTACTATTACTATTACTATTGAAAACGCTTCTATATGACCATCATTCGCATTTCCCACCCACCAACACGGCACCTTTGTAAATAAAGATTCCTTTACGCCGTGCTTATTTAATTTACAAAACTACGTCAGAGTTACCCACCCTCTGTCCACAAAGGTTCCAGAAAGACCATAAGAATCAAAATACTTCCTCCCTATGTAAAGGGTACAAGCAGGTGACACCCTTAGAAACTTGTACCCGAGGCTGTTTAAAATGAAGTAGCCAGTAACAAGCATTATCGGAGCAACGCTTTCTTTATTTTTTCTTCATATTTAAGCATTACTCACCAATTACTAAGCCATTTTTTGTTTTACTTTCATTATTCAGTTGGTAATTACAGTAACAATCGAACACCGATTTGTAAACAGCTTGGAATCTTGGTGAAGTTCTCTTCTCTTCCGTTGAATACAGCGGAATGAGAAGAGGAAAATCAACCTTCAAACGATCAAGTACATGGCACTTGTAATCCTGTTTGCAAATACTATGCGGACTATATCAGTCCAGAATCGAGTTTAAGTAGATAGACTGAAAGTGTATTTCCTTTGACCTCCCAGCTTTGGGTGTTATTTCCTATGTAACTAATGCGGGAAGTAACACACTGCAAGGGTCTCTTTATTGCAGTAAAATCCTGTAGAGGAAAATGTTGGTAGCTCAGGATCGAGTTTAATAGACTGAAAGTGTATTTCCTTTGACCTCCCAGCTTTGGGTGTTATTTCCTATGTAACTAATGCGGGAAGTAACACACTACACTGC